TATGCAGCAACACATAGGGGAAAGTGTTGGCTTTGGAGTGAGGAAAACCTGGATTTAAGTCCTGCCTCTGACATACTAATTATGGACTAATTATGGACACATCACCTAATTTCTCTGTGTTCTAGGCCACAAGTGTCAAACATGAGGCTGCTAGAAGCATGTGACCCACAACTCTCCTGAGTATGGCCTGAACCAGATTAAAATGCAGTTGGGAAATATTACCAAAATAAATGAAATACAACAAAATGTAAATGATCTTACATTTAAAAACTAAGTCAATATGTGGCCCACAGGGATCCTTATGTAGGCCCCTGTTTCTACTTGAATTTGACACTTACTCTATGCAACTTTTTCAAGCTATAGGTTGCAGAGAAGGTGCCGACTTGCATTGGTAGAGAGAGTTTCCTTTCCTAGGAGTTCCTTACACCAATAAAATCACAGGTCCAGTCCCTGTCTTTGTGTGCCAGATTCCATCCTGGGGCACCTCTCCTATTCTCCACTATCTTTCAAAGATCTTTCAATGCCCCAGGCAACAATTTGATACAGAGAGGGGATTTCCACAATGGGTATTCTACATGGATGAAATCACAAATCTGGACTCCCACTTCTCTCTTCCCAAGGGGAGAAAAATGGGTTTAGCCGGTGCCTGGTGTTGAAGGAGATTTAAAGATGTAGGTGATGAATTCCCTTAGGGAGTGTAGCTAAGTCATGTCTCCTCCCCACCACCACACCTGACAATCTGTCCTATACTCCAGGAACCACTTTTATAAAACATTATCTTACCCCAAATCTTTAATGTCTCCCCATTGCCATAGAGTCGAGTTCAAACTCAGGAGCCTGATTTTAAGGCCCTTCATAAATGGGTTCCATATTTTTCTAACCTCATCTACTACTACTTCAGTTGTGTCCCTTGTACTTCAGCCAAAGTGGAAGACCCATCATTTCCCAAACCTATCCTTCACCTTCCTCCTTCTAGGTTTTGTTTATATTCTTCCCTCCTGGTATATCCCCCTCTTTTCCATCAAAATCCCTCCTAACTTTCTAGATGCAGGTCAAGTGCTACCTCCTCCAAGATGTTTTCCTTCCTGGACTCACCAGCTCAGAGAAATCATTATCTCCTCTGAATACCCACTAGATTTTTGTCTGTAGGTCTACAAAAGCATTTATTTCATTTTCCTTTGTATCATAGTAATTTGTGTATGTGAAGGGGGTGACTCTTTACATGTGGACCCAGAGTCTCTGGGTAATGCCTTTCCAGCAACCACCACTATTGGGACATTTCCAGTATGGTTTTGGTTCCAAACATGGCCCAGATCTGTTGGCTGGGTAGAGCATAGAGGAGGAAGCAACAATGTTAATTTGTAAATATGAGAGAAAAAAGATATGAGACATTAATGGCCACTTGGAGATGGAAGGCTCCTAGTTCCATGATTCCTCTGCCTTCAGCTTGATGATCTTGAGGATTAGCTAGCCTTGTCTAGTCCATCTCATTGACCTTGAAGAAAATCTTACCCTTCTCCTTTCCAAATGTCCTACTTCCTCCACTCCTTACCCAGCTCCCTTCCCTGAAGTAAACTACTGTATTGTGGTGTCTTCTGGAATAAATGATCTTTTTTTTTAATTGTTTGTGTGTGTGTATGTGTGTCTGTGTATGCTTGTCCTTGTTTGAGGTTGGGATCTAGGGATTCTTTTTTTTTTTTTTGCTAGGCAATGGGGTTAAGGGTCACACAGCTAGTAAGTGTCAAGTATCTAGTCTGAGACTGGATTTGAACTCAGGTCCTCCTGACTCCAGGGCTGGTGCTCTATCCACTGCACCACCTAGCTGCCCCCTGGGTCTAGGGATTCTTAACTTGGTGTGATGGAATAATATCTACTAGCATTTTCTCACAATATGGATTTGGCCCATGCTGTGAGAAGGTGTCACCTTCCCTCAGGTGGCAGGGAATATTTTTTGCTAAATGAGATCAATTGGTCCTTGGGACCTTATTGGTCCCTGCTTCCCTGATGCAACTTCCTGGTCACCTAAAAGTATAAAAAGTTCCACTCAGATTGGGTCAAGGTCTCTCAAACTTGATGGGTGCCTGAGATCATGGGAGTCACCATGCCTTACCCTGCTGACCTTCTATAAGGAAGTGAGGGAAGCCACTTTAATCAAAGCTAAAGCCAAGTGCTACTGTATCCGTACTGCATAGTCATGCTGTAGTAGGGCAAAGTAAACTTTTTTGTTAACTGTTCAATGACTTAGGAGTGCTTCATTTCAACCCAAAATTGGACTTGAACTAATAAAGTTCTGGCATCAGGCCCACCTCTAGCATCTGGGGCCCACGCTTTTTTTTTCCAGAATATTTTAAATATTCCATGTAAATATAGTTGGTTTTCTTTGTAATTCTACATATTTTATTTTATGCATTTAAAACCATCATCTTGAGAAAAGATCCATAGGCTTCATCAGACTATCACCAAAGGATTCCATAGGACAAAAAAGGTTAAGCACTCATGAGCTAGGGTGAGGTTGAATCCACTAAATATTTTTTTCTTCACTTTGATTGTTCCTCACTTTTCTCTGAATTATAATGGGAGTTTAAAGGTCTTTTGTTGTTGCTACTGTATTCCATCTTTCATCCTTTGGTGTGTTAAATGCCAATCTGGTACACATAGTACCTTATATGCTATTTTAATATTGTCGATATTTGGCATTGTCATCTTGCTGGTGTGTGTGTGATTAAGACTCACTGTTGTTGAATTGTCCTGGTGTGTTGTTATTGAGCCGGACCTAAAATAGAACCATGGCTTGTTTAGTCACTGAGAAATTGGTGCACAAAAAGTGGGAGCCCCATTGAAGACTGTTGATTTTGCGTGTGTCTGTTGATATTAATGAGAAATAGGCTGAAAGCACTTTGTGTGATTCTGTGCATAATTTGGGGAGATGTTAGGTACTAAGGTGGACAGGGAGGAAGACAAAACACCATCTGGATTTTGTAAAGGACTGGAAACAATGGTACATTCCAGCTTCCATAGCGAAATGCTTTGTCTGACCTATGAAGCAGTTATTAAGCACCTACTGTGTTGCCAGGCATTGTTCTCAGTGAAGGAGCTTATGTTCCATCTGGAACATAAAAAACATACACATAAAAGTAAGAAAATAAATACAAAGAAAACACAACATAACTAGGGGAAGGGGGGTGGAGGGGGCAATACTAAGAGCTAAGAGGATGAATCAGGGAAAGCCTCATGGAGAAGATACCACTTGAGTAGAGCGCCAAAGGAAGGTAAGGATGCTAGCACATCTAACTAACTAATCATCCCTTTAAAAATATGTTTTAGAATTTCCCGAAGAATCCAAGTCAAGCTCGTTAACCCAAAGTTTGCAGATTCCTTTGCCATCTATCCTCTTTTTAAAAATTTGGGACGACACGTGTCCTTCTCTGATCGTATGGTACCCTTCCTTTTTTCTGCAGTCTTTGAAATATCACTGAGAATGGAGCAGCAATCATATCCACTAATTTTTCCAGTATCCAAAAGAATATAGTTCATCTGGGACAGTGACAAATTTATCAAGGATGCTAGGTACTTTCTTACCATCTTTTAAACTCACAGTGGGTATCAACTCCCTATTAGTCATTTTTGTTCTGTTCTTTCCAGTACAAAGGTCATTCTTTTTCACAGAAAAAATGGAAGCTAAATAAAACCTTATCAGTTCTGTCTTCTCTCTGTTGTCAGTTATCCAATCTGCTCTGAGCTGCTATGCTATCCCTTCTTTGAAACTTCACTTTCCTGCTATAGAACTTAAAAAAAAATCCCTTTTCTTATCCTTAGCTTTTCTTGCCAGCCTCAGTTTATTCCAAGTGTCTGCCATGATTCTTATAGGATTGTGCCCTGTTTTTATATTCATCCTTTATCTTCCCTTGCTTCCAACTTCTGTGGGTATCCTTTTTAAAAAATCTAAGTTGTTTGAGGAGTTATCTGTGAATATCCTTTGGAAAGTGTAAGGTTTTAAACATGTAGATGATACTTGGATATTTCAGTCAGCATGAGATTACACTGATATGGCTATTTCCTCCAATAGTGAAGATTGCAGTTCATCCAGACCCACTTAGTCTACAATTCTGGCTATGCTGTCCCATAAATCTGCCAGCGTACACTGCTCGGCATCCTGAGCGCTTTCCTCTCATTCTGCTGATGTGTATCAGAGTACGTAGCCTGTGGATTGGTTATCCCCCATTCTCATTATACGATTGACTCAGTTTTTCTTCTGGTTAACCATCTCCAAAATGATATTGTTTAAGCTCCTTCTCTGGTGTGATTCTTTGCTGTTAAGGTGCTATGTCCTGCTTATTTCTGCCATTTGCATTTCTGTGGTCCTTTGTAAGACACTTAACTTTAATTCTTGAGACTGTGGCATTACCTGACTTGTAAGCATGCATCATTTTTGGTAGAATATTAAAAATAATAATAGCTAGCTTTATGTAGTGGGCTAAGGTGCTTTATACGTATTATTTCATTTAATCCTCACAATAACCCTATTATGATCCTCATTTTTATGCTTGGTTTTGACTCTACAAACATGATGGGTATCACTGCATGGTATATCCTACTTGCTTTTCAGCTTCCTTTTGTGTATTGTCTTCCTCTGTCAGATTATAAGCTTCTTGAGGGCAGGTACTGTTTCTTTTTTTCTTCCCTATTTGTATTCCCAGAACTTAGCACAGCACGTTAGTAAATGTTTATTGATGGGACTGACAGTGAAAGGTTAAGTGACTTGCCCAGGATCACAAAGCCAGTAAATATCTGAGTAAGAATTAGAACACAAGTCTTTCTGACTAAGGTTAGTCCTCTATTCATTATACCACAAGGCTGCTTTCAGATTATTATTAGAAATATATTTTAGAGAAAAGCTTAGGCTTATTCTACATATTGTCTGTACTGTACTGTATGTACTATATTATATATAAGTACTGTATGATTTTCTGAAGGTAATCCAACCTGTTTTTCTCCTCCAGTTCAGCTGTAGGCCCAGCTCATCGGACACTTGCAGAATCTATCAAAAATGTACTGGTATGTACTGATACACCACCTTTACAAATTGTCTAACTGCATGTCTTGGTCCTCTTTGAAAATGAAGGACGAACAACAACATGGACAATAGTCCAGCTTTTCTGAGAGATTATAGATTATAGATCTTATTTTGGAGGATCTACAATGTTTCAGGGCATGATATAACCAGTATAGTATCATCTGCAAACAAGAACATTTGTAGGACCTCACCAACTACAGGGAATCTCTTTTCCCTTTGGACTCTGCACTCCAAGTCCTCTATGACAATGGCAAATGAATGTGGTGTGCATATGTCTCTCTATTTTAAGGCCTTGGTTAATATTGATGTTAAGAAGTTTGTAGAACAATGCTATCATTATATCTTTTCGGCTCTTGCTTGCTACATCTAACTAGATTACTAGAGATCACACCAGAAAAGAATTGACATTTAACTTTTCATTCCCTGTCCTTTCTTGCATTTTCTTTTTATTTTGCTTATTTTCAATTCTGTTGTTGCTGTTCTTGGGAGCATTACTTTCTGAACTCCCTGAACCATGTACTTGCTACCCAGCCCCCCCTCCTTCTCCTTTCTACCTCCTGTACAGAGAACTATAATCAAATGACCCCCATCTTTGCCTCTGGAAAAGGTATGATAATGGATGGCCCTTTTGTTCTACTCTATAACCTGCCTGACCAAATCATCCTTCTCTTAATACCCGCTCCGTTTTGGGTTGTTTCCCCCCGACCTCGAGGTCTGGGACTATTTTGCTTTTGTATTTTTGACCCTGCCATTCCGCACAGTGTTTGGCACATAGTGCAGAAAATACTTCACAGATTTTTTTTGTTCATTCATTCAAAGATTCTGGTATGATTTGTAAATGCGCACAGGATGCATGCTATTGAAGGGGAGCCTTTCAGGGAGTATTTTACTTGTTCAAGTGCAAAGTATTATGGTGAAATCGCCCCTCAGGCTGAACAATTACAGATTTTTTTTGCCTTTTCTCGAAGGGCTTGATTTCCAGTCTCCTAACTTCCTCTCATTCTCTTCCCTATTGTTTACCACACTCTCACCGTTCCATATTAGGTGTAGGACTCAGAACTAGGGATAGGATCTGTTTGACCAATATTGCATTAGAAAAGAGGACACACTTATACCTCTTCCATGATGTCCTCTTATTTTTGAACTGCAGGTAGTCTGTGTCATTCAGCCTGCCTCCAAATCCCTAGCCAGATGTGGCTCTTCAGTGTTTTGCTTTCTTTCATATCTAATAAAGTCCCTGTCTATTAGGCCTCAAGGGGCCACTTGTCTTCAAATAAAAAAGTTAATTTTGTGATTAAAAATTAAAGGTGTTTGTCTCCTAATATTCATATATTTGATCACTAGAAGAAACTATTTTTTTTTTCTTCTCCTTTTTTTTTTTTTTGGCTAGGCAATGAGATTAAGTGATTTGCCCAGGGTCACTCAGCTAGTGTTATGTGTCTGAGGTCACATTTGAGCTCAGGTCCTCCTGAATCCAGGGCTGGTGCTCTGTCTACTTTGCCACCTAGCTGCCTCTAGAAGAAACTATTTTGATGATTACTATTTTGCCTAAATTTTCTGGGCTTTCATTTCCTCGTGTTCAAAATGATGGGATTGGATTAGATGAAGACTAAGATCCTTTTAACTCTACAATTTTTTTTCTCTTTAAAAAATTCAAATGAAAGATATTTTTAAAAATTAATTATTTCTCCCACCTCCGTAGAGCAAATTAAAAACAAATCCCTTAATACATATTTACACAGTCTGGCAAAGCCAATTCCCACATTAGCCATGTCTGAAAATGTATGTCTCTTTCTGCATTTTAAATTCGTCATCTTCAGCATGTGTGTCATTTTTATGCTTTTGAATGTGTGGTTCATCATTGTGTTGATCAGAGTTCTAAAGTCTTTCAAAGCTGTTTTTTCTCTATAGTGTTGCCACTGAATGATTATTCTCCTAGTTCTACTTACCTTATTCTCCATTAATTTTTAAAGGTCTCCCCAGTTTCTTCTGAAAAGTTCCCTTTCATCATTTCTTATGCCACAATAATATTCCATTACATCTGTAGAATGTGTTCTAGTGCACTAGTCATTCCCCCAAATAGCAGGACAGCTTCTCAGTTTCCAGGTTTTGGTTGCCACAAAAAGAGCTGCTATAAATATTTTTTAAAATTTAGGTTCTTTCCCTCTTTCTTTGATTACTTTGGGGGTAAAGGCCTAGTAGTTTGTAGCTGGGTGAAATGGTTTGCACAGTTTTGGTGTACATTTCTTTTCAGAATGGCTAGAACAATTCAAAGCCCCATCTAGAGTATACTAGTATACCTGCTTTCCAACAGACCCTCCAGTATTTGTCATTTTCTTCTTTTATCATCTTCTCTATCATACTCTGATAGATATGAGGTAGAATTTCAAAATTGCTTTAATTAAAATTTGTTTGATCATTAGTCATTTAGGGCATTTTTATGTGATAGTTTGGATTTCTTTCTTTGAAAACTGCCTATTCATTGGGGCGGCTAGGTGGCGCAGTGGATAGAGCACGGCCCTGAAGTCAGGCCAAACACCTGAGGCTTCCTAGCCATGTGACCCTGGGCAAGTGACTTAACCCCACTTGCCTAAAACAAACAAAGAAACAAAAACCCTACCTCTTCATATCTTTTGACCAGTTATCTTCTGGGGGATGTCCCTTAGTCTTATAAACTTGAATCAATTCGTTATATAAATCTTGAACATGAGATCTTTATCAGAGAAACTGATCCCCCCACCCCATTTCCTTGTTTCCCTTCTAATTTTTACTACATTAAATTTGTTTGTGTAGTATCTTTTCAATTTTATATAATCAAAATTTCCCATTTTATCCTGTGTGATCATCTACATCACTTGTTTGGTTATGAAATCTTATACTTTTCATAGACCTGAAAGGTAGTTTCTTCCTTGATCCTCTAATTTGTTTACAATGTGAACTTTTGCATTCAGAGTATGTATCCATTTGGACTTCATCTTGGTTTATAGTCTGAGGTGTTGGTCTAAACTTAATTTCCACCAGACTGCTGTCTAGTTGTTTATTTTTTTTTAATCAGCTTTTACCAAATAGTCTTGAAGTTACTGGAATATTTGGGTTTATCAAATACTGTGCTACGTGTTTATTTTGTTTGCTTCTGATTATTGTATACCAAATTTGTCCAAGTGATGAACCTCTATTAAAAAGTACCAAATCATTTTAGTGATTACTTCTTTGTAGTATAGTTTGAGATATGGGCCTAGTTTTAATGATTACTACTTTGTGTAGTAATAGTTGTAGTTTGGGAACTGGTACCAAATCACCTTCCTTTTAATTTTTTCCCTACATTTTTGACCTTCAGATTCTTGACCTTTTGTTTTTTCATATGAATTTTGTCATTTTCCCCTAACTCTATAAAGTGTTTTTTGGGAATTGGTATAGCAGTGAATAAATGAATAAATTTAGGTGATAATATAATTTTTATTGTATTGGATTGACCTATCCATGAACAATTAATGTTTTTTTAAAAAACATATTGTCTACCTTTTTTCTGCAAAGAGTGTTTTATAGTCCTTAGATGAATCTTAGAAAATGTGCTCCCAAGTATGTTATAACTTCTGTAGTTCTTTTGAATGGGATTTGTTTTTGTAGTTCTTCTTGCTGGATTTTGCTGATACATATACGAATGCTGATGATTTATGTCAATTTGTGCTATATTTTGAAACTTTGATGAAGTTATTATTTCAATTAATTTTGAAATTAACTCTCTAGAATTCTTTCAGTACACTTTCAATATCATGTGCAGAAAGTGATAGTTTTGTTTTCTTTTTGCCTATACTTATTCCCTCAATTTATTTTCTTGTATTATTGCTATAGCTTGCATTTCCAGCACTGTGTTACATAGTAGTGGTGATAAAAGCGTCTTTGCTTTCCCTCTGACTGACTGGAGAGGACTCTAATTTTTCTCAATTACATGTATTTGTTCTTGGAGTTAGATAAATACTATTTGCTATATTAAGGAAATTTATTCCTGTGATTTTTAGAGTTTCAAAGAGAAAAAAATGTTGGATTTTATCAAATGCATTTTTGGCATCTATTGATATAATCATATGGTTTTATTATTTATATTATTGACATAGCCTATTACATTTCTAGTTTTCTTTATGTTGAATTGAACATTCAACTGTGCAATTGTACAATTGCCCTTATGGTATAAACCCATCCTAGTCATAGTGTATAATCTTTCTAATATGTCATTTTAGCTTACATGTCAATATTTGATTTAAAAATTTTCCTTCAATATTTATAATAGATGTTAATTTAAAGTTTTCTTTTTTTTTGTCATATCCCACTGGTTTAGGACTAAAAGCCATATTTGTGTCATAGAATGAGACTAGATGGGTCCTTTGTTTTCTTCTTATTGCAAATAATCTATTAAATATTAGAATTCATTTGTCTTTAATTAAAAAATTAAATGTTTGATAGAATTTACATGTGACTCTATTTGGTGCTGGAGTTTTTTTTTCCTTTGGAAGTTTATTATGGTACCTATCTCTATGATTCAATGAAACAAGCATTTATTAAGCACCTACTATGTGCCGGGTATTGTGCTGAGCAGTTTACAAACAGTATCTTATTTGATCCTTACGATAATCCTGGGAGATAGGTACTATTATTTTCCCCATTTTACAGTTGGAGAAACTGAGGCACACAGGGTGATTTGCTAAGGACTATAAGCTACTAAGTATCTAAGGCTGGATTTGAATTCCATTCTTCCTGATGCTATATCCACTGAGCCACCTTGCTGCTCACTTAAAGTGTTTTTGGTGGGCCCACCTTCAGTACTAATGAAGGTTGGACCCCCAGCAGCTCCTTGCTGCATTGCCCTTTGTTGTTCCCCACCCCTGGGGCTGCAATGCTTCTTTCTTCCACTTCTAGGCTGTCTGTCCTCTACTCCAGGCATCAGGGATCTTTCTGATTGGATCCTTTTCTCTTTGGTTGGCCT